GGGGGATGGGGCCAGGCAGGACAGCAATCCAGGGGGCTGGGGGAGCACGCAGGGGTGGGGCATGTGGGCCATGACCCACCCTTCCTGAGCGGGGGGGTGGTAGCCCCTGTGGGGGCCATGTGGCCCCCATTGGGGGTGGCTGTAACCCTTGTGAGGGGCTGTGGCCCTTATGGGGGGCTGTAGGCTTGTGTGGGGGAAGTCCGTGAGTTGTGCAGGGGGCTCTGCCCTGCAGGGGGCAGGGGAACCACCCCACCTGAGCAGCCACTCCCACAGTCCCCCCACAATCCACACACCCCACATCCCCCCACCCCACTTTCCACACCCCTCCTGTAAACCCCATATCCCCCCAGCACACACCCAGTGTGCCCAGCTGTCAGACAGGATGCGACCTGCTGGCAGGAGCTGTGGCTGCAGGGGCAGCTGTCCCCACATCCTGGTTAGTGAAGGGGTCACAGGGAGCTCTAAATGCTCTATGGTAAGAAGACCAGAGGCAAACAGAAAAACATATAGGTCTTTAGAATTCATTTTATTATGATGATAGAGACACTGGTAGGCTTCCAAATTGCTTGAACACTGTAGATATATCAATAAAACATGGCTCAACTGATCGCTGTCTCTCTGTCTCACTCGCTTTCTATATAGTGGTCTTTTGTTTTAATTGTGGAGAAACATGGATTTCAGGGTATTTTACAGAGTGACTTTGGGATTATTTTATCAGAGATTTTTCAGTGTTCAAATAGGGAACACCAGATTTCCTGCTAGGGAGGCAAGTGGCAGGGCCCAGGCAGAGGAGCCTGCTCAGTGCTAGCACCTTGGACCCCACTGGAGGTGGCTGATCTCCTGGCCAATTCGGGCCAGGAGGACATGCTTTGACAGTTCAAAGCAGGCCACCACACTGGGAGCATCTTCTAGGCGGTAGCTGCCCAGATGGCCAAGCAGGGGCACACATAGCAGTAGTGCCGCACAAAGGCCAACTCTGCATCTTCAGCCCACTGGCAGCTGGCCCAGAGGGGCAGATGACTCTACTGGCTGTGCAGTCCCCTTCTGGGTCTGGCAAGTGCACAACAGGTCACAGCCAGGCAGCAGCCCCCACTGCCAGACTGCTGCAGTGGGTAGAGGATGCAGGGAACTCTCAGGGCTGCTTCAGCAGTCCAGCTGGCACAAGGGGTAGTGTCCCCAGGTACCAACTAGCTGGGCCCCAGAAGCTCCTGAGAGTGAATAGCCCTGAGCTGCTTACCAGGGCAGCTTTTTGTACTGATGGGGCCAGAGCAGGGCAGCTTTTTATACTGCTGGGGCTAGCACAGGTACTGCCCCACACCAAAGTGCATGTCTGAGGCAAAAAGCCCTTGCTCAAATTTGCACTGCTTCTATTTGAGCTGCTAGAGGTGCACGTGCTTGCATGTGTAGATGTGCCCAGTGGGAGCAGTCCAGTACAGGGCTGCTCCTACACTGCTTTGAACCCCTGCAGCAGGCAGGGGGAGTGCCAAGCTCCCTTAGGGTGCTAGCCTGTGAGCTGGCAGGGAGCACAGGGCCAGTCCTGATGTGCACAGGGCCAGGAGAGCTCAGCAGCAGGTGTCTTTTATCCCCTGCACATTGGGAGGGGACCTGATGTGCATGGGGCTGGCAGGCAGCTGCTGCTGCTGAGCTCTCTCTGCCCCAGGCACATGGGGACAAGCCCTATGCCCGGCGGGGCTTTCCCCTGCAGCTGAGGCTGGTTGGATGGGCAGGGAAGCAGAGAGCTCCCGAGTCCTGATGCTGCTCAGTTCCAAGGTCCTGTGGGGAGCTGGGAGCTGAGCAGCACCAGAACCAGGGGAGTTCTTCATCTCCTGTGCCCCCCTGGTATTGGGGCTGACTTGGAGTAAATTTGCTTCCAGTCAGCATCTACACGTGTGCTACTGTACAGTATCTACTGCAGTTAGTTAGCTATTACCTGTAAATATACGTAGTAAACTGTGCAGAGATTAATTTACTGTGCAATAAATGTGCACACATGTAGACGGAGATGATTTACTGTGCAGTAGATTAGTCTACTGATTAGTAAAGCGTCTCATGTAGACATGCCCTCTGACAGCAGTAAGTTATGAAAGCCTTTTCCATCTCCCAGGGATCATGGCCATTTAGGGTTTTTTTGCTTTTTGTTTTTTGGGGTTTTTTTTGCAGGGGGGCAGGGGGGTTTGTATCTTGTTCCAATTGCTCATAATCACAGAGAGTAACAGGCTGAAGGTAGTTATTCAAAATTTAATTAGGTGAATGGTAAATATAGCTGCCTGAATTATCAAAATCCTTTCTGTAGTTAAAAATTAATTACATAATTTTATCTTATTAAATAAAAGATTTAGTGGGATGATTAATTCATGTGGCATCAGAGGCCTTGTTTGCTGGTGCTTTCTTTGCTTCTTGCTCACATCAGTTTCATTCTGGAGCCTGGCATTTTGATAGGGATGTTCAGAATCTCATCAGTTTAAAAAGAAAGGGGGGCTAGCTTTTTTTTTTTTTTTTAAGTTAAATGACAAATCTTTTGTATTTGCATTCTGTTCCTTATACTGCTTTATAATGTATCCTACCAATGTGAAGGCAGAGTGCTTTCCAAGCAAAATCAATAGAAAAGTTTTTAGTGGGTATCATGGAGTCTTTAAGTCTTCTGTTCACGGGTTAAATCAGTGCTCAGGCTTTGGGTTTTCTATGTGCTTTGGTTTGTCTTTTGACAGCCCCATGGCCTTGAACTAATGATAAGTTTAACATTATTGTTAGCAGTTTAACATTATATATTAGCACCCAGACTCTGCTACACACTATAAGGAAGCAAAATATACTGTGGGCCAAATTTCCAAGTCTGGCCAAATTGTACTTGGAGATGCTATTTTACTATTCTCCCGATTCTGAGATACACTGAGGCCTCAAGTTTCATTTCAAAGAACAGTCCCCAGAAGTCATTCCCTGCCTGGAGATCACTGGAGTATGAGGTGCAATGGCTATGCTCCAGGCTGCCTGTCAATCTGAATGGTATGCTGGGATCCAGTGATATGGGTCTGGTTATGGTGGATCTACACAACCTGGACAGGCTACCATGCCAGGGGATTCTTTAACTGCATTTTCATTCTTGTATCCTGGCTGCTTTTTTTTCCTGTCAGACTGGTGTAAAGCAGCTAAGCTAATGGCCCAAAGTAACTACTCCAAGATAAAAAAAAGAAAAGAAAAGAAAGAAATGGTAGGTGGATGAGGCAAAGTGAGGACAAAGTTGACAATAATAAAGTCATCTGGCATTTGTTGTATGCACTGCAGGGCTACTTGATGGTTCTGGCAAATACAGATAGTAAAATATTAGATTTTACATCAGTTTGGGTTGATGTCAGTTGCATGGATATTTCTTATTCAGTAATATTTGTAAGTCATTGATCTGATCTACCTCCATTAGAATTCCATCAGAAACTGAATGCAATAAAATCATAATCATATCCTTTTAAAAAAATATAAATTTTGAACAGATCTGAATCACTGTGTATATCTAGAATTCAGACAGGTACTTAAGACCTGGCCCCAAGCTCACTGAAGTCAATGGGATTCTCTCCATTCACTTTAATCGGCTGACTGGGACTCATTGTCTAATTTTCCATACAGGCAGCCTAGCCATGGTCACAATAAACTGCTTCATTTTCCTGAATTCAAGCTCTTGCTTTTTGCTGATAAACAGCTTAGTTTGAAATACCACTGAGGATGGCAGTACCTGAAAACTGTACAGCTTTAATAAGATAAATGGAAATGGTTAAATATTTGACTGACTAAAAGTATGATAGCATCTTTGTTGTTTAATCTCCTGCCCAGAAATGTACTGAGCTGAATACTGTTGGGAAATGAACAATTCACACAGCCCCTCCTTCCAATCCTTCCCTTCTTTCTGTGATGATGTACATAACTAAGCCACCACTTCCTAGAAATAGTAGGGGATGGCAATGGAAAATGAAATTTAAACCAATGTCTGTTTTTAAGTCTGATTATCTGTAAAATGCTTTTTTATATTTTCCTCTATGTGGACAAAAATAGTGACAGGTCTTTCTGGCAAAGAACTGAACAACAAGAAAATTTTTACCAAATGCCCCAATCCCTTTCCTAACCCATAGTGACTGGAGAGCCCAACAGCTGTCTTAGTAAATACTGTCACTCAGGATTTAAATAGTTTTACATAATCTGGAATAGAGTGGTGAATCCAAGCTTTTTCGCTAGTCAAGTGGCAGGTGGGAATTTAAGCTTTTATAATAGGCCCACAGCCTCTGCTCCCACAGGGATTTTCTTTTACTGTCTATTGACTTTATTATAGGCTCCATAATAAAGACTATGAGATGAAAGAAGAGGAAGATACAATATGAAGGTCAGACTAGGGAAGATGGAAAGGAAAAGTAGGTCTCTCCAGCTGCTGCAGCAGCAGCAACACTGAGATGAGTTCTGTGTAGCCCTGTTTTTAAGCCTGCAGTGAAGAAGGAAAACATTTTGAGCTGCTAGGTCACTGGCAAGCTCAAGCAAAGCAGAAAACGCAATGTTAGTTTTAAGTTTTCCAAGCAGGTTTTAAAATTCTCTTTTTTTTTAATAACAGATGATTTTCTGCTGTTTAAAACATGTTTAAAACATGGCAGCTTGAATGCTCAGTTCTCATGGGATCTGACGAGCCCACAACCTTGTTCCTTCCATGTCACCACCTGATTCTTGAATAAGGTAAGCCAGATCCTCAACTGTTGTATCTCTAATGAAATCAAACTGAGCGACACAGATTTACCTCGGATGAGGCTCTGACTCTGTGGCAGTGAAAGCGCTCTTTGGGAGCTGTATTAAAAAAAAATCGTTACTAGGAAAGTGTAACAGTAACAAATATTGAAGACAATGCAGTACTATGTACCCTGTTTTGTAATCATTATATGCACAATATATTTCATATGCTGCAGGATAGCAGTACAAAAAGCCCTGTTTGAATATGATGATGCTTAATAGACTTGGGACTAAACGGAGGGAAAAAAACATATGGGATTGCTTCTACTTGGCTAGCCATCTTCTCTACATTCACTGTGACATCAGTTTCCAGGTAAGCGTATATTTACATGTCAAAACTAATAAAACATGACTGCAGTCGATCTGCCCTTCCTCTGTGCTCTTGTAACATATAATGGCCAGGTTTTGCCTGTTCTGAAGACAGCTGGGTGATGAACCAGCTTCTACACAAAGCAAACCTTAGAGGCCATGTCTATAGTGGGAGCACTACAGTGTGCCCTGTGCACACCCCACCCTGAAACAGGTTGAGTGCACTGGGACCAGGTGCAAAATGTGTTTTGTGTTAACAGTTGGGAGAGCAGTAACCCTGTCGTGGATCCACTTCCTTAGTCCTATGCACATTCTTCAACAGACATCACAAGCAAAATATTCTGCAGATGTCAAGTAACATGTTTTCAGAGGACTCTACAATCTTCTCCCTTCTATTTGCACAATGACAGTTTAGATTCATATCACTAAACTATTTTTTTGGTTTGAGCGACCAACCAGATAGGCCATAATAGCTGATCAACCATCTTTATATTGTACGCCACTATAACCTTGCTATGAAATTCCTCTGATGTTTACTGCGCCTCTGCAGAGGAACCAATCACTTGCACTACTCTGGTTACAATCACTATTGTGTTCAGGAGATGGCAGAAATTTCCTTAGCTTGCCACACTCTTTCAGGGCTATGGAGTGCTGGACAATGCACCGGCCACCCTTTCCTTCCCTGCCGAGTGATAAGGTTCTGCTAGTGGCATAGGCCCTGGTCTAATACTGCATTTAAGTACATGTTAAAAGTTGAGTATATGAGTGGTTCTGTTGCATTCAAATAAACATGCAGGTTGGAATTTTCCAAATGAACCTTAGGAAGGTAAGTCCAAACCCCATGGCAACTTTTTAACCCCATGGTTAAAAAAAATAATTTAATCCCCTATTTTTCTTTGATAAACTCTTCTTTATATTGGACTCAGTGCAGAAAAGTGTTGTTGTATTAGTTTTCTTGTATTTAAGAAACTTGCAGGTGTTGCATTTCTTTTGCCATGAACAAGAAAGACAGAAGAGTAATGCTATGGTAGCACCATGCACATCACAGTATTGTGGAAAATGACAAAATTTAGTGTCAGAGTTGAGGAGTAAATTAGTGGTTCTCTAAGAGCAAATTATTATTTTGTGGTTGACAACCTACAGCATTTTTACTTAATACAAATAAAATATCAGTGTGTAATTTTGCCAGGACTTCTGTAGCATCTTTAAAATCAGATGATATGGTATACTGGCTGAAAAGGCTTATTGAAAACCATCTGAGTCATATGCAATTGGTCATATGTCAGAAGTTTGAAACAAAGAGACTCCTTTACAGGCCAGCAGAATTATTGGCTACGTTTACTGATACTGTATGCTTTACTGGGACGTGCTTTGCACTGACATATAGCATGAAGATAAGGTATGTGTGTCAGCCTCATATCTTGTATCAGAGAATGATTTAACAAATGATTTAAAACAACATGCTATATGTATGAGGGATATCAGAATTTGATATAAACAAAGCTGGTAACTTGGAAGATGATAATACTTGCAACATAGGTTTAAAATAACATGTTTTGACATCAGGAAATCCAGAGGAAGTACTGAGTAAGAAATATTTGTTTAATGTGTTATAAGGAATATTGCTAATGTCATTCTGACCCCCATTATTCACATGTGGCCAGTCCTCCCTCAGATAAAACACTCTGTGAAGAAGTTTGGAATTTTGCTTGGATAAGGACTATTTTAAGACTGCATGATTTACTCTGGGAATCTTTTGACAGTTAATCTCAATTAACAGTTGAGAGAATATTTTTTTTAACAAAGGCAGAAACTGTACTTTCCCTTAATTTTGTTTTCTGGAATGGCTGAACTGGTTTACTGTAACTTTTCAGAATAATTCAGCCTCAGGCGTAGAAAAAATCACCCTATACATTTTAAGCTTGTCATGGTGTTGAGCTGCTGAAAAAAGCTGAGACTTAGATTTAGCTTAGACTGAAAGGCATGAGGCAACTTCAAATATAGGTGGTATTATGAGAACCAAAAACTGCTGTTGTCCTTGTCTCACAATACAAGGTAAAGAGGCCATTCTATGAAATTAAACTGTGGCAAATGCAAACCTCTTAAATGGAAACTTTTTCACATAGTTGCTGCCAGAGGAAGTCAGTGAGGCCCAGAATTTAGCAAGATTAAAAAAGGGATTGTATTTTTATACTGATAACAGGACATCCAGAGTTGACATAATTATTGCTAACACATTTTGGAAGGGATATTAAATCTCACACTCTAGCACTTAGGAAGTCACTAACTGTAAAAAGAAGTTAGACCCAGTGTTAGGGACAGATGACCCAATCTCTCTCTCTTGCAGGGTTCTTACTCCTTCCTCTGAAGCATTTCCTGTTGGCCTCTGTTGGAGCAAAAATACTGTATTAGATGGACTGTGGGTGTGATTCAGTCTGACCATTCCTATGTTATTTCCCTAAGAGGTTCAACTAATTTTAATTTATTCATGCCACATACCAGGAATGGCCTTTTATGTTGTCTTCCTTGGCAATAGAAACACTGGCTCAACTTGTCAAAAGCAAGTTATGCCCAACCAACCTGATTTCCTTCTATGACAAGTTAATGGATTCTGTGGATTGGGAGAAAACAGTAGATGTGATATACATAGGCAACACATGGGGAGGCACAGAGGGGCATGTGCCCCCCTCATCAGCCAGGGAGGAGTGGGGGCACTGAGAGAAGCACCAACCAGTGCCCCCTAAGATTGGTGCTGGCCGGGGATAGGGGCACCAAAAGAAGCACTGGCGGCACTTCCAATTCGTCGCTGGTGCCCTGCCCCCCCAGACTCAGGGGGCACCAGCCACCTATGGTGATATAGTTTGACATGAGTAAAACTTTTGAGACAATCTCTCATAGTAGTGCTGGTTAGACAAACATGTAGCAGAGACTACTGAAAGATATTTGTGCCTTAATTGGGCAATTGAACTAGAGAACTTCCCCAGGTCACTTCCAGCCCTAGTTTTCTATGATTCTATGAGATAGAAGTAGTATATCTAAGAAGCGAGATTAATACCTGCACTAGCAGAGGCTCAAGTTTAAATTGCACTCCTAGTTCAATAGATCGCATGATGCTTTTCAGGAATGCTCCATCCATGCAGAAGCATAACTGGTTGCTTGAGCACCGGGGGTGGTAACAGCATATGCGGTAGTGTCATTGGCTGGGCCAGCAGCACAGTTACTGCTGTTTTTGCCCCATCTTCCTCTTAACACACAGTTGATGCCAGGGGCTGGTGCCCTGGTCATCCAGGTATGCTACTATCTCCACGCTTTTGGCTTCCCTTTCAGCCTTCTCCAGCATGCCTTCGGCATTGGGAGATGCTAGGAGTTTAGTTTTTTGACTCATTTGGCATCTATGTCCACCTACTGAGGAATCATTCCTTGGGTCAAACATGAGGAAGAAACCTAATGTTTGCCCTACAACCCATTTGTATCAGCATAGCTACATAAAGGGGTCCTAGTGCAGTTATCTATTAAGCCTGGATTCTTTATGGGATTAGGGTGTTTGGCTTCAGAATACAAAACAATTTTTATAACCTAACATCTTAAAGAGCATGATGATCTCCAGGTTGGGTATTTGGGATTCAACTCATCCAACCAGGAAGTGCTATATCCCAAAATGGATGTAATATGGCAGCCTTGAAGTGGCATTGAACATGTGCTGATAAAAGTGCCTGAGATAGTGAGCACCTCCAAGCTCTCTTCTATGGCAGGTAACGTATTTTATGGTGAATAAATCAACACAGTGTATAAGTCGACCGCATATTTCTGTACAAAAAAAATTAGGATTTTTGTAGATCCAGTGTATAAGTTGACCCTGCCTGACCATGGCTGGGAGAAGGCGATGGGGATGGTGTGCACGGTGCTGGAAGCCCGGGTGCATTTGTAGGAGAGGCAGCATGCTGGAGGGCTCCAGAGAAGTTGGATTGGGCCCCTGGGAGCTCAGGCAGCACATGGCCCACTGGCAGTCTGGCCAGCCCTGGGGGGTACCACCACTGTGGAAGGAAGGGCAAGCCTCCCTCCTCCCCCACTGCAGCTCAGGGGCTGTCCAGCCTGGAAGCAGATGGCCCCCTGGCTGCAAGGGGGGGGGGGCAGGCAGGCTCCACCAAAAGCAGAATCGGGCCCCTGAATCACTGCTTCTGTCTTCAGCAGTCTCCTGTGGCTGGCCAGATGCCTGGTGCCATCTAGGAAGGGGCTGGCTTGCCCCATGAATAGCATGAGGTGTCCAGCAGGGATGGGGGGAAACCAGCCCTGCCTGACATGTCTAGTCTCCCCTGCCCCGCTGCCCGACACCCTGCATTGCTGGAGGGTGTGCCAGGCATCCTGCTGGCTGCAGGAGCCTGCTGAAGGCAGAAGTGGGGAGAGGCCTGATTCTGCTCTTGGCAGAGCCTGCCTGCCTCCCCATGGCTGGTGGGAGAGCTGCCACCAGGCCAGGAAGCCCCTGAGCTGCAGGGCATGCTGGGTACTTCCCTCCCCAGCGCTCCACAGGCCCAGCCAAGCAGGCTGCCAGCTGGCCGCGTGCTGCCTGAGTTCCCAGGGGCCTGATCAAACTTCTCTGAAGCCCGTCAGCTCTCCGCTTCCCCACGCGGCAGTGTGCTGGCATGGGGTCTGGGCAGCGCTGCTCGTAGGGAACGGTGTGTGAGTCAAGGTGGAAATTTAAAGGTAAATATTTTGGTTTCAAACATTGATTTATACACCATGCAATATGGTGCATTACACCTTTTTCAAGTTGGAGTCTGCATAGAGAACACTGCAGTGCTCCCACGCTCAGTCCTTTTGATGGGCTAGACATGATCTGTAAGACCTCATTTGGCAGCTGAGACAACAAGAGGATGGTTCATGGATATAAAGGAAATTGTTCTCCCTAGGAAAGTAAGGTAATGACAAACAGTTCAGTGGAATAAAACCCTTCTGAGAGCTGTGTACATGGGCTCAGATCCTGAGAGGTGTTGAGTGAAAACAGGA